TCGGGGGGGGGGGGGGAGAGGGGGTGCTGAGACCCCTACCCTGAGGAGAGTGGGGGTCCCTTCTGCCCCCCTGGCTGCCAGTGAGTACTTGGGGGAGGCTCTACTCTAGGACTGTAGGCCCGGCAGGCTCCCTCCCACCTAGGTGCCACTGACTTGCGGCGGGGAGGAGGGGGAGTGTTCCAGATTTCCTTAAAAAACTAATATGGTCAGCCTTATTTAGTGATCACCCTCTCTCAGCACCCTTTGGCTGTACTGCATGCAAACATTTCTTTAAAGATGTTTACAGATGTTTCTTTAAAGATCTTTGGCTAGTAGCAGAGCATTATCAAAAAGGTTCTGGGACTCTGGAATTCCTTTCTGTTGGTGCTAAACGGCCCATTTATTTACCCATGTATTTGCTGAGAAAGGGGTTGAAGTGTGATTCAACTGAGTGCTTGAAGACTTTCTTTTTTTCTGGATCACTATTTTGAATACTGACTTACTATTCATCCAAAGGGTTCTTTGCATTGAGAAATGTATTAAGAATAATTTATATAAAGTAAAATTATTTTTATTTATATTTCTTAAATCTCTAAAATCTTTAAAATTCTCAGGGGCAGCAACTACTGAAATGTACTCTGGAAACTAATAGAAAACAGACTAGTACATGTGCTATGCAGTCTTTCTTTTGGTACGAACTAATAAATGTTCTAACTCATTTTACAATAGGAAAAATCACAATCTGAATTATTAATATACATTAGTTACTGAACTATATATCCATCTTGGGGCAAACAGTGACATTTAAATGCTTGGAACTCATCACTTGATTATGCTGAATAGGCCAATATAATCCTGTAATTGTATTTTTAGCCTTCTTTATACCAGCTTTGAAAAGGAATCTGTTTTCAGTGTCATTGCTGGAAAGTCCATTTCACCTCGTTAATCCACACATTAAAATGAGACCATTTTTAGAAAGGGATTTTCACACAGAAAGGAGCATGTTTGAGCAAGATGAATGCAAGAACATTCATATGATCAAACTAGGCACGTACAACAGTGTCAGATGGAAGAAATCATTTTAAAACACTGAAGAAATTATTTTCTAACACTTCAAAAAATACCCTTCTGGCTTGACCATTTAGGAGACTTGCCTATGTACAACTTGCTAAGGATGATTTTATGAATATGCTGTATTTGTGACGCTAGTCTACGTACGAGAACCAACACCCAAGCTGTTTACTTCCACTTTCACATGCCCCTGAAGAGGCTAATTATAAATTCAGAACAACCAGAGTTGAAGCTGCATTTAAACAGCTATGATAACTCTGGGATCAGCACTGATTTTGGGAGCCTAGAATGGCTGGGCCATGAGGCTCCGTTCTGTGAAGGGGTAACGAACAGACAGCCTGTTCCAAAAGTGTGCTAACGAGGTCGAGGAAAGAACCAGCACTACAGCCTACTTTGACTAAGAGAAACTTGAGAGTACATGGGCCCCGTGTGATGAGAACCATAGTAACTTGATGAGCATCCACCTAGGGAAGTTCTGCTAGGGCTGCAACATGTGTTCCTAAAAAGAAAGTTGTAATGTTTTGTTGTTTTTGTCATGTGCTACAAACCAACAAGGTTTATAGCTCCAAAACAAGTAACTTGTAGACAACAGTCCCTGCCTCCAAGTCTACAATCACAGACAAAACAATTCAGATGCATACTGATCATGGGTTACTGGTATGGTCATCTTGATTGAAGAAATATATTTTGAAGAGGAATTCAGAGGTGTGTGAAGCACATGAAAAGAAGAATATTTCAGGTATAAGGAGCATCAGGAGCAGGGACACAAAATAGATATGTAGAAGAGAGGGTTGGGCCAAGTAAAAAGAGCCAGATTAGAGGTGAAAGCAGAGATGAAAGATGGAATTGAGTGCAGTTCCTTACAAGTAAAGATGATGCTCTTGAACTTATTGAGATGACTGCTCCATTTAACTACAGGTTTCAGTATTTTAACATAACAGTCATAGTTTCATAATTGTTAGGGGCTGGAAGGTCCAGCCCCACTGCACTTGGGCAGGAAAGACTGCTGGGGCCAGATGGGGTCAGTCTATTTAAGCCAGAATTTAAATGCCCTACCACTGCTAGGGGCCGTCACGTACAAGAGCTATAGGACTAAAGTGAGTAATTAAAATGCTGCCTTCCAATATGCACAGACAACTCTCATCCAATTCAGTGGAATGTGTCCACTTTTATCTGATGGCAAAGTCTATCCCTTTGTCTTTGTATTCAGATGTAACATCTGATTGGGATGCTCTAAATTCACTGTTATATCTGGATATTTTATCCATCTATTTTTTTTACTGCATGATACCTCGCTGTTCACCTAATTAAAAAAATGCAAACTACCCAAGAGCTAAAACCCTCCCAAACAACAAAAATAATTGCCTGTGTAGTAGTATGACCATTCAGAACCATACATGTTATCTTCAAGTATAGTAATGAATTCAATTTATTTTCTTTCCTAAAGCAAGTGTCAACAGCATTCTGAAGAATCTTCAAAACGATTCATTCATTCTTTTCTTTTTAAGAGCTCAACTACCACAACGGGGGCTGGCACTTGACAGTCTAAAATCACTTATTGCTGAAAGTCTTTAATAGCTACATGCATTGTTGCTCAACAAAAGTATTTATTATAAAATAAATTATAGTTTCTTTACCTTTTTATGTTTTTATAAAAGCAGTTTTCATTGATTACTTACAAACAACTGTGTTATATTCAGCCTTCCAGGCACTGGGTAATTTCTTTTTAGTCCAGAAAACATAGTTCATTGAATCAGAGCCACAAAGGTCACTGCTTGTATATTTTCTTTACAAACAATTTTCTGTTATATTTGGTCAGACTGAACAGAACTTTACTCTTTCAATTGTTCAATTTATTTCAATACAATGACTTAGGATAGAAATAGGCACATCCTGGCATAGTTGATCTGCTTCACTTGGTGAAACATACTTCACCTGCTGTCCCACCCACTGGATCTCGCAGGATGCTTCTTCTTTACACAGATGCAACCTAGCCGGGGGGAGCCAGCTCCAGTGTGGTCTCAGCTCTGGAAGCACACCAGAGGGTTGAACTGGTGCATCTCTGTAAGCAAGGGAAAGCTAGGCAGGTACTCCTAGGGCTTGAGGGGCCTGATCCTATGTAGAAATTCTTGGTTGTGCAGGATGGGGCCTACTAAGCCCTAGGAACGCATCCTGGGGGAAGCTGGAGAGCACAGGCAGCTCTTGGCTGCCTGTACTCTAGCACCATAAAGCAAACAAACTTCTGTTACTCAATAATGGCAAAAATTTATACCAACTACTTTGTGCCCACAAATTTTGAGCATTTGTGGTGCAACAAGGGGCATGGATGTCTGTTTCCCTGACCTTTGTGCTGCTATAAAAAATTTTATAGTGGCACAAAGGAAACAACATATGTTTCCTTCCACCTTTAGTAAGCGAGATACTACTCAAATTAGCAAGGGTGCTGTGGGGGGAGGAGGGGGTGGGGCAGCGACTATGGTCTTGTAAGTTTTAACTTGAATCTGGTAAGAAACTTTAGAGAACAGTGGTCAAAGCCTGAAATTATTGTCACCTTGAATCATGGACCAAGTTAGCTTTAATGTAAAACCAACGACACTAACACTTATCTCAGTTTTTATACCCCATGCTTTTACTTTGAACAGTGTCCTCTCTGCTCCTAAAATAAAGCATAAGTATAGGATACCTGTAATTGACACCGACTTGATCCTACCTGTTCACAAGGTGCGAAAGGCAAAGAA